GTCTGTATGTACGACCAGAACGTCGACTCCCGGTTCAAGTGAGGCATTTTGCGGGCGTTATTCTTGCCGTCGAAGCGGGCGCTCACAACCATACGCCCGTTCCCTGCCTTCAGGAAACTGTATACACTCTTGACGTCGTGCGCGGAGTCCACGCACGCCTGAACCGTATCCTTGAGTGTCTTATTGAGAGATCCCGGCCCGAAGGTGGGCGCCAATCGCTCGATCGCCGCCCGGTTTAGGTATGGCCCGCAGTCGCACGAGTAGTTCACATAAACACAAACTATAAGTAAAAATATAAATTAAAAACTATTAAAACAAATGTCAACTCAAATGACACGAACCGGGAGAGCACTGTCGCGGACTAAGGGCTGCCGTCTTATTCGGTGTCAACTCTTTCGGTGATAACGTGTCCGTCCGGTCGACATTCGTATCGATACTCAGTTCATCTCTTATGCCATTATCTGTTCCGTTAGTAAGTGTTGGCTTCGATGTCTTAAGGGGTGTACCGCCAGAGCCGGACTCACTCTTATTAGTGGTCGTGGATGTGGTGGTCGATGAGGTTCTCGTGTTTGGATGACTTGCATTCGTTTTGTTTTCTTTTATTGACCCGTTTTCAGACACCTTTTGTTCGGTGGCGGCGCCGGTAGGCGTACTGTTAGACTGTTTGGCCTTTCCTTTGGCCGGTGTTTGCACTACAAGTCCAACAAAATATAGATATCGTATAAACATTTGACACAACTTTCATAACAAACTCTCAATTTGTGACTCAAAAACAGAAATCATTGACAAAACGGGAGTCAAACTCAGACTCAGACATACCTTTCCCTTTAAGACCGGGGGGTTGCAGGGGATGACCGCTGCGTTGACACCAACCGACTGGGAATATGTCTCGGGAGTCGTATCGGCACCAGTAGTCGAACGCACCCTTCCATCCGTCAAACGTGACGAATATGTTGTCCTCATTGACGGCGCCGACAGTGGCCGGACATATGAGTCTCGGGTTCTTCTTGTCGACCGCCTCTAACTTCATACCCGCCTCAAAGCGGTTGGTGTGAGGGGTGGGCGGCGGCTGTTTGAACACCTTATTGGGTGCGATGTCTGCGTTCTCGAGGGTCGTGCAGAGAAAGGCCGACCACTGGGAGGGGTTCTTACGGAAGCCGAGCGGCGGTTGTAGTAAACCGTCGTTCTTCTGACACGTGCCCACCGGTGCGATCGACTGGGAGTCCACTAACTCCCAGAAGTCGTTGGCGTTGTCACTGCCGTCCAGACGCAGCTGCAGTCGCGGACCCATCGAGAAGACCACTGTCGCCACACACGTCGAGGTCGGGTTCCGGGGGTCGAGCGCCTCCAGCTTTTGGCCCACTTTGAAGTCGTTGAC